TCTCCATTTCTTTAACAGCTTTCTTTGACTGTTATTTTAAGGTAGATAGGCTGGTAACATTCTCTTTGTTTGCCTTCATTCTGCATGTTTGCCTCCATGTTACTGAAGCGTTCTTAGAAATAACATTTAAAAACCACAGTAATTAATAGGAAAAAGAATCAATAAATTAGACTTGCTCGAAATTCAAAATGTTGCTTTGTAAAATGTTCTGCTTTAAGAGGAATAAAAGACAAGCTATGAAGAGAAAATTTTCACAAACCACATAATCTAACAAAGGACTCATAAAATATAAACTCAAGATTCAACAGAAGGGAATGAGGCAGAGGTGAGGAAGGCAAGCAATCAAATTAGAAACTGAGCAACATACATGAGACATTTCATCATAGAGGACATATGGATGGGAAATAAATTCATGGACCACGAGCATTGTTAGCCATTACAGAAATGCAAACACTAAAATAATAGACACTGAAAAGAAGTTGGAGAAACTGAATCACTCAGGCATTACTGGTGGGAATATAAAATAGTGCAACATACTTCAGAACATTTGGAAGTTTCTTGCAAAACTTACCTATAGAATTGGTGTAACACCAGGTGTTGCAGATTGAACAGGATTTGGCTCACCAAACTAATGCAGATGTTTGAGCTGCAAAGTTTTATGTTAACAGTCAATGGATTAATGCTAATGTTTAATGGATTTGAGTTGAGACTTGATCCAATTATGGCAGCTAGGAGGTGAGCCCCGTGGGAGGGAGGCATTTAGGTTATTGGGAGTTTGACCTTGGAAGGTAGTTCTTGCGATAAGGTTAGTTATTTAAACAGAGTTTGTCCTGTCTTCTTTCAACTTTTTGGCTTACTGTGTGATCATTCCCCTGCACATGCTCCATCATTGCCAGCCTCCACTAGACACCAGATTAATGGGGCTGTCCGATCTTAAACTGCATACTCGCAAACAGTAAGCTAAAATAAACTTTGTTATTCCCAAGAAGCTCTCCTGAAGGTAGGCTGATTAGTAAAATATTGCTAAGAGCCAGTGAGCACCAATTATATTTAAAAGAATCATGTCCTAAATATTAGCTGGTTGGGTAATATGACTGTACCCCTACTCCCACTGAACACTAGATGCTGGCTTGACTGCCTTTTCTGTCCCCCCAAACGTGGCTTTTGTTCCCATTGTAAGTGCAGTATGAATTCCATCACTACATCGTTGGATTACTCTTTTCAGACAAAGTATTAGGGGGCAGTTGCGATTTGTCCACTGAAGAGGTTGGTTCAGCAAGTCTGGAGTGTTCAAATCCAGTGAATTTCACCCCATACCTTCCCCCTTCAAAAAACATTTCGCAATGAGTGGTTTGGCCTTTGATCATCTTCGAGGTGATAACCTATAAGACCTTGGAATAGTTTTGCCTGATTAGAGAGTCTCTTTGTTTACCCCAGGGTCACATAGTATTAGCTTGACACTTAAATGGACTGGAAGTTGAGTAATGACCAAGGTCAGTCACATAGATACTTCAGGTCTTTTGTTACTGGCAGCCAATAAAAACCCTTGGCACCAGGGCTTGAATGCACATCCCGGGTTGACAATATCCATACATGCTTTCATACAGTGTTGTTAGGATAATAAAACTCTTGACTATGCAGCACATTTGGGAAAGAACTAAAAGCTTGTGCTTGGTCTTTCCTGGCATCTGTCCTATGTACATTTTTTACCTTTGTTGATACCTTTCAGTGTAATAAACCATTGCTAAAACAACCTTTCTGAATTATGAGTCTGGTAAATCATTGACTCGAACAGTGGTCTTTGGGAGCTTGCCACACTGGTAAATCTTACAGTGCAATCCCCTAGCTACTAATAGGATGTAAAAACATGAGTATCTGGCCTTTGTGGTTTTTGCATTTGAGACTTTTAAAGTAATGTAAATGATATCCACTGTGTTACCTTATTAAAGTGTGACAAACATTGAAATACACGTGACTCTGAGTGTTTAGTATAGAGTTGTAGGATTATATAAAGAATAAAAAACAGTAACACAGTTAAAGACTTGTATTTGCATAAGCTCTATAGAAATCTAATAGTATGTCTACTACTACAGAAAATGTGTTCTACCACATTACAAATTAAAATACAGCTTAAAATCAGAAGAATACACCAATAAAAATATATGATATTAGTTTTGCTCCTGGGCATCTTAGTGTCATAGAAGTAAAAAATATTGAGCATTGAGATATAAGCAAGTATGTATAAGCCTCATGATTGCAGTGCTGTTTTTAAGTGCCACTCTTCCAAACCACCATCGTTCATTCCTATCATGGAATATTAGGTTGCCATTTAAAAGAATGAATCAGAGGTACACGGTACACTGTGGCTAATTAAATCAGATGTATGATCGTTACATAATATCTTCATGTTGTACAACAATAAATGATCAATTTTGAGCATGCAACAATATGAAAAAGTAAAACTGCAGGTGCGGCAGTTGAAGATGAAGTAAAAGAAAAGAGTGGAAGTAGTATGGAAAAGAATGCTACTCTTGTGGCATATGTGTAATCCCACTGATGTAAAAATATATATGAAAAGGTAGCATCAAATCTTAGCAGTTATCTAAAGATGATGAGGTTTAGAGTCTTGTTCAATTTATGGAATATTAGGTTCTGAGTTTTTAGTCATGAGTATGCAGTATCTACATAAGGACAAGTGAGTGAGTATATCACAGGAAGAATGCCTCTCAAGCCTCTTGCCTGAGCGATGGGGGTGAAGGTAGGGTGGGTTACTGATTCATTAAACATATATTTTAAGCAGATAAAATGGGTCAGATATTGTTGTAGGTGCTGGAGATACAATGACCAAAACAAACAAAAACTCATCTCCCCAAGAAGTTTATGTTCTAATGGGGAAAGAGGGGATAACTGGAGAAGAAGATGGGATGGAAGAAGGATATATTTGAAAGGATCAGTTAAACTTGAGAACACTGATAGCCAATTGGAGAAGTGAGATAGGCAGTTGGATTATGGGTCCAGCATTTATAGGAGTGGAGATGCAGATATGGAAGTAGAGGCCAACAAAATGGTGTTTCAGACCTCCTTTCCTGAGTCTGATCACGTCTCACTGCAGACACTTTACAGAGGAAGTGCTGAGGAAAAACAGGCAGCTGACAGGGGAGGTTGCTATGCAACAGATGAGGAAAGTCATCCAACCAGGCAGAATTGATGTTGGCCCTTGGGGACCAAGTGCCGCAGTCCTTCCTAGTATTAGCTTCCCTTCATATGTGGACTCCTGGCAGGAGTCGATGCCAGAAGGAATGTGAAATGCATAAAGATCTGCTTTGAATTTTGGAAAAGTATCAGCTTAGTTTGAGTCACCTCACATCTGTATATCATCTTCTGGTTTGTTTTTTGTTGTTGTTGTTGTTTTGTTTTTAGTTTCTCCAGTCGTTCTGGAAGCACAGTAATATGTGTCCTTGGATAGGACACATGTGCTATGCTTTCTATTCTGCATATTGAGAGATCAAGCACTGTAAATGGAGTGTCGTGAGTGAGCTCACATTTACAGTGACACACAGGCTAGGCACTCCGTTCTACAGATTCTGAAATCAATTCAGTCTCGTTCCTCAATGCCACAGCTGCTCCAGATTCTAAAACTTAATCAAGGAAGGAAGTAAGGCAAACATGACTCAAAATGGGAGACACAAACGTGCCTGGTTGACTTGGCTACTTTGGCAAACACCTGGAAAGTGTTGGGCACAGCACGATTGTGCCATTCATAGACAAGATTCCTGGGTAGCATTGGGAGCCGGGAATGGGCCCCAAGGAGCAATTCCCATTCCTGAATGAACACGAGATGGAACTGAGAGCCTTATCCTGTGCCCTCGAGAAAGCAGAACATAAGCTTTGGCATCCTGGAAAACAAAGCTTGTTCGTTTGGGCTAAATGTTAGGGTTGAGGTGGCCTGTGGCTCAAACAGAGGAGGAAAAGTGTATAACTTGGGCTTTGGAATTAAGAAACCCCTGGGAGCAAAGGTTGAATTTTGTCTTTACTGTGGCTCTCGGGCTTTGTCTTGTTCATGCAGTGTGTCTCAACCTTAACTTCTGGGTCTGTAAAATGGGGATGCTTCCATGGTTGCTTTAAGAGAAAGACAAGTCTCAATATAGATCCTGCTATGATGAAGTGGATTCTACCAAAAAAAAAAAATCATGGAATTGAAAAGTATGGGAAAACCTGCGTGTGTTTCCAAAAAATAGTTTGGCAGCCAAATAAGCTTATCTTTCAATTTTGTTCCCTGCAAACTTTTTCAAGTCTCCTAGTACAAGCTGTGCCCTTCCCTGCCTTCCTCCCACAAGGCGTACAAAATGATTGCAAGACTGGAACTGCAGAAAAGAAGCTAATCTGAGTCTGGAAGCTAGTGAGGGGCGCTTGTGATCACGTGGCAGGCACAGACTCCAGTAGTGTATACTTTGTGGACATTTTCTTTCCTGGATTGCAAAGTAGATGAGGAGCTCTGCAGGGGGCTTAGCACTTGTTGCAATTAGAGACCCCTCCCCCCTGCAGAGACCTGCTTAATAGTGACCTAAACGGTGCAGGGAAGGAAGGGGGTGGAACTGCAGGCCGACCTGATGGGAGGGGCCTTGAAGGGGGCAGGGATAGCATAGAGACGCATTGCGGAAAAGGTAGGGGGCTGCTCTGTGGGGCAAGGGGTGGGACCAAGATGCACGCTGCATCTGTTGAGGGAGGGGATGTAGAGGAAGAGGAGGAACCGTTGTATACTGTCGACCTGGTTGGTGGTGGGATGGTGTGTTGGCAAAGGGGCGGGGCCGCCTTCCAGTGCGCATGTGTGTCGTGCTCCCTAGGACGGAGCTTTTGTTGGGAAAGTGGGCGGGTTTGTAGTTGTTCCTCCAGTCTTTGCGCCTGCGCTTAACCTCCCGAGGCAGTGGGTGGTATATTAGGCAAAGAGGCGGGGTCGTCTAAGCTGCCGCGCTGGCATTTTCTCCTAGACAAGGAGAGAGTGCGGTTGCTGAGAGCCCAGCACAGCAATCCCGATCCTCTCGGTCGTGAAGAAGGGAAGCGACGAGGTGGTTAGGGTTGGGGCCTGAGGCAAGGTGAGAACTGGCCCCCAGAGAGGGCATCTGCCCCCTGGTGCGGGACTCCTTCCCCCATTTATTTTTCCTAATCCCTTAACCCCATATTCTGAACCCCGTCCACTGCCTGAACCCCGATTCACACCCCCCCCCCCCCCCGATCCTTGCTGATTCAGAGCCTCTGTTCTCTCTCTCTCACCCCCTCGGTCCTTACAGAATCCTGAAAGATTTCTTGACCCGGATCTGTACTGTTTTGCAATTCTTCCTGATTGAAAACCTTCATTCAACTTCGTGAACGCGAATCCCACCCCAGCCCACCCCACCCCACTCTTGGATTCTGAACTCTAATCTGCTTCCTGAGCTCTGATTTAAAGATTCTCCCTGTAGTTGCTTCTCGGGATTCAGAATCTCCATCTGAGCACCCGTTCACATTTTTCCCTTCTCTCCGGTCTTTTCCACTTCAGACCCAGCGCCTCTTCCACTTGCACAATCCAACCGCGCACACACCCCCGGATTCAGCCCTGCGTATCTGCCCTGTGTAGTGTAACACCCTGCTCCTTTCCGTTAATCCCCAGGCTCTGCTCTTGCCAGAGGAACCGGAGCCATGGCTCAGAACATGGACCGTGGTGCAGGCCTCCTCGGCTTCCAGGTGAGATCTCTGTTCCCCAGCCCTCCATTTCCCCTTCGACACTTCCCCCAGCCTGCCCTGCCCCCTCTCATCTGGCCAAACACCTGGATTCAATTTTGTCCTCTTTTATCCCTAGACTGTGTCGTTGTTCAAATTCCCAACCTTTATCCAAGGGGAAGGAGGCATCCCTTTTCAGTCATCAGTCCCTGCTTAGAGAAAGGGGAGACCCTGTTAGTAGTCGGGGCAATCTGCCCAGAGATTGCGGGCTGAGTAAAGGAACCATTTTCTTTCCCATAGGCCTGACGCTTGCAAAGCAGGCTGTTGCCCCCTCCCCCAACCTCCCACCTCAACCCTCCCTCTCTCCTGTATTCCCCACTTGTTGTGGGTCTCCTTTCCTCTGCTCAGCTACTTGCTTTGCCTCCCATCCTGAGTGCTGACTGCACCCTGTACCATTTCTGCTCCAACCCCACTCATTCAGGCCCTTCTCATGTTGCTCTACCTGCCATTTTGTCCTTGCCATACACCAGTGCACCACATGTTCTGTACCAATCGCCTCCCTGTGCCCCCTGCGTGCTCCCTGGGTTCTTGCCATGGCCTTGTTTTTGCAGCAGCTGTCCTCCTGCACCTTCCCAGCTGCGTGCGTGTGGTCCCACCCCCGCTGTTCCAGACTCTGAGTTCCAGAGATTAAATTTGTTTCCTCTGTATTTGCAGGCAGAGGCCTCTGTAGAAGACAACACTTTGCTTATGCAGACCTTGATGGAGGCGATCCAGATCTCAGAGGCTCCACCTACCAACCAGGCCACAGCAGCTGCCGGCGGGCCAAATGCGAGTCCTCAGAGTTCACAGCCCCCTACTGCCAATGAGATGGCTGATAATCAAGCCTCAGCAGCAGCTGCTAGGCCTAAGACAGCCTTTAAAGGCCAGAAAGCCACCACAAAAGGCCCAAATGGTGTCTATGACTTCTCGCAGGCACCTAATGCCAAGGAGAAGCCCAATGCTCAACCTAAAGCTGGCTTTAAGTCCCAGAATGCCGCTCCAAAGGGCGCAAGTGCTGCTTATGATTTTTCCCAGGCTGCAGCCACTGAGGAGTTAGTTGCCAACAAGTCTGAGATGGCCTTTAAGGCCCAGAATGGCACCACTAAGGTGGGTCCAAATGCTACTTACAATTTCTCTCAGTCTTTCAGTGCCAATGAGATGGCCAATAACCGATCTAAGACAGCCTTCAAGGCTTGGAATGATACCACTAAGGCCCCAACGGCTGACTGCCAGACCCAGAATGTAAACCAGACCAAAATGGCCGCTTCCCCGGAGGACATAGAAAACAACCCAGGTGTGGCTGAACCTGATGTTGCAGCTGCACAGACTTCAGCAGATGGTCCTCAGGCTCAGAATGTGGAGTCTCGGACTATAATTCGGGGCAAGAGGACCCGCAAGGTGAGATCCCCATTAGCGTCACTTTGCTTTGGGTTCTCTCCTTTTATCTCCGATATTATTTGTTCAAAATAAAACAAATACATATATATCATACAAATATAGATGTAATAGAAAAATTCCCTTATTTATCTAGGCTGTAGATGATATTGAAGTAGATGATTTTTCCCTGTCCTTGGAGTATGCGTAGACTGATGGGGGAGATAACACATGCAAACAAATACATCTAAGCTGTATGCAATTCAGTTTACATTTGGATAGTAACCACCACATGTCAAATCTTGAGCTAGGCCTGTTCATGCAGGCCTTGTTAAATCCTGAAGGCACCTCCCACCAGCTGAGGATCATAGTCTTAGTTGGACAAAGAAGGAAACTGAGTCCCAAGGAATTGAAGTGACTTGAGTGATTTGTTCAGGGTGGGACAAGCAGGGTAAGCAAGTGGTAGACAAGACAGGAAGAGAAGAAGCCTCAGTACCCATCTCTGGGTTACTCTAGGCCTGGTTCAGAGATGAAACTCCTGCCTGGAAGGCAGTGAAAGAGAAGCCCTGGACTCAGGGTGGCCAGTGGCTAGTGAGTCAGGTTGTAATTTCAGGTGAGGGTTTAGGGAAATTTCCTGAAATAGACAGTGTGAGGATATAGAACATTTTGTGACCAACCCTGCACTTTCCTTCTCTCTGATAATGCAGATTAATAACATGAATGTGGAAGAAAACAGCAGTGGGGATCAGAGACGTGCCCCTCCGGCTGCAGGGACCTGGAGGTCTGCTCCGGCTCCAGTAACCACTCAGAATCCACCTGGCGCACCACCTAATGTGCTCTGGCAGACCCCACTGGCTTGGCAGAACCCATCAGGCTGGCAAAGCCAGACAACCAGGCAGACCCCACCGGCACGCCAGAGCCCCCCGGCTAGGCAGACCCCACCAACCTGGCAGGGTCCAGTTGCTTGGCAGAACCCAGTGATCTGGCCAAACCCAGTGATCTGGCAGAATCCTGTGATTTGGCCAAATCCCGTTGTCTGGCCTGGCCCAGTTGTCTGGCCAAACCCAATGGCCTGGCAGAATCCTTCTGGATGGCAGACCCCACCTGGATGGCAGACCCCACCGGGCTGGCAGGGCCCTCCAGACTGGCAAGGGCCTTCTGACTGGCCACTGCCTCCTGATTGGCCACTTCCCACCGACTGGTCAATCCCATCTGACTGGCCAATTCCACCTGACTGGATCACTGCTGATTGGCCTATTCCACCTGACTGGCAGAACCTGAGACCCTCACCTAACCTGCGCAGCTCTCCAAACTCGCGTGCCTCACAGAACCCGGGTGCCTCACAGCCCCGAGATGCGGCCCTTCTTCAGGAAAGAGTAAGTGCTCTTCCTCCCCACTCCTCCTTTTACTTATTGTTGCCTTTCCATATATAACGCAGCAAGTTTTCTTCAAATATAATTAATGATTTCTTTCTCCCTTCCAGGCGAATAAGTTGGTCAAGTACCTGATGCTCAAAGACTACACAAAGGTGCCCATCAAGCGCTCAGGTAAGCTTCCACTGGCTCCCTCCCATTGAGCTGTACCCTTCCCTTCACCCAGTGCTCTATGGCAGGGGTGGGGAATGTCTAGTCAGGTTGATGAAATCATTTGGTTGGCCTTGCCAAGGCAACCACAAGTGAGATTTGAAATTCAGTAAATATACAAGCAGGCTAACTTTTAAGTTGACAATTTTGTGTAGTCTGCAAGTGATGTTACAAATATCCAAACAGCCCTTGGCAAAAGAAAAAAAATGGTTCCCCACCCCTGCTGTTTGGGCACGCCTTTGCTTATTAGACCTTTCCCTTCTGTCCTCTGCTGTCCATGGCTGATAGTTCCTTTTCCACCCTTGAGGACCCTGGCTGTGCTACCCTCAGCAGTGCTGGCAAAGGGGCTGTTGCTCCATGGCCCCTGTTCAGCCCAGATGCTCTCTCCTCTCTCCTACAGAAATGTTGAGGGATATCATTCGTGAATACACTGATGTTTATCCAGAAATCATTGAACGTGCATGCTTTGTCTTGGAGAAGGTGAGAAGGCAGCCCTGAGGAACAGGAATAACGGGGAAAGTGTTGATTTCAAAGATCCATGGGGTTTCTACTGGGAGTTTAGGGCAAGATTCACAGGGAGGTGAGTGACTGCTTATGGGTAGCTTATGATAGATTTTGTGATTTCATAATCTGTTTTCTTGCCCCTGTAGAAATTTGGAATTCAACTGAAAGAAATTGACAAGGACGAGCACCTTTACATTCTCATCAGTACCCCCGAGTCCCTGGCTGGCATACTGGGAACGTAAGATGGGAAAGGAGGTGGAACATGGTCTTTTTTCTTGGTGTCTTTTTTCATGGGGTTTTCAAGTAGGTCAGGATCCAAAGTTCAGGGTCACATAGGAAGTCATTTGCAGAGCCATTCTTTCATGACCAAGGGTGAAGCTATGTGGTAAGCTGGCTGGAATTCAGATAGCTGCTGAAAACATGTTCTTTTGTTTTCCTTTAGGACCAAAGACACACCCAAGCTGGGTCTCCTCTTGGTGATTCTGGGTGTCATCTTCATGAATGGCAACCGTGCCACTGAGGGTGAGTGGGTGAACTAGCAACTAGGGGTTGGCTGCAGCCTGATTTCCATGCTCATTTTCCATCCCTTGTCTCCTCTTGCTTCCCATTGCAGCTGTCCTCTGGGAGGCACTACGCAAGATGGGACTGCGTCCTGGGTATGATTGGGCTCTCTCGTCTCTTGCCTGTTCGCATCATCCTTTGGCAACAAAGGATGGTCCCAGGATTGCATTAACCTGGTGGTCTGAAGGGCTTGGTTTGGGGAGGTCCAGAGCCCAAGGATGTTATCTGGGTGGATGGGAAAATAGTCCTAAAAGCTGCCTCTTTTTTCACCTCTGACCTCTGTGCTGAAACTTTTTGCTTTGCTTAGGGTAAATTCATAGTCTCTGATGATGAATTTTCCTTTTTTTATTACTAGGGTGAGACATCCCCTCCTTGGAGACCTGAGGAAACTTCTCACTTACGAGTTTGTGAAGCAGAAGTAAGTGATACCTAAGGCACTTTTTCAGGTCCTCAGGATTCTCGCTGTGTGCTGGTCAGCCTGAAGAAAACCTTTCTGAGCTTATTTGTGACACTGTGCCCACACGTATCCACACAAACATGTACTCAGGGATGTCTACTGAGTGTGCTACTTAAGATTGCATTTTTCTTTAATAAAGGTGTCTTACAAGTGAAGCCTGTCCACTATCTCCATAGTAGGCTGTCCCAAGGTTGAGCCAAGCTGAGACTTTTATGCTGTAGTGTAATCCTCAGATTGGATCTCTCTGTAGCCGATTTATATAATTTTTATAAGAATCTAGAGTCAGTGTTGTAGCAGAGGGAGTGAAATAAGGTGTTGTCTTTCTGTGATTGGACACAGCGCCATCTGTTAAGTGATAGCTACATGTGGAAATGCTGATAGAGCATCTGGAAGGCCTGATTATTACAAGGTAATAATCCCGATCATGTTTAGGAAATTGTCCATAGGGGCAAGGAGAGATGCCACCTGAAATTCAGGATTTTGAAGCATAGGATTACTATGTATTGGTGCACTGCCCTTCTCCCCAAAGAGGTAGACACAAAGACTTTTTGGCTCTTTCAGGTATCTGGACTACAGACGAGTGCCCAACAGCAACCCTCCTGAGTATGAGTTCCTCTGGGGCCTCCGTTCCTATCATGAGACTAGCAAGATGAAAGTGCTGAGATTCATTGCAGAGGTAATGCAGAAACTAATCAAGAATTGATAGAGCAGGAAGTAAGGTATCAGTGGTTGAGAAAACCAATAACAGGAATGAAATCCTAGCATGGCACATGGTGGATGCTGCCTTATTGGTGATTTTGTTGTTATGTACAAAAATATGGTGCTTAACACGTACTAGGTGCTTAGTACCAACAATGGTACTTCAGAAGTTGGTAGAAAATGTAATTTCAAGATAAGTTGATTTTAGTACAGAAGGATTTTGAATCCCATGCATATGTTGAATCTTCAATAAGTTCATGAAAAATGAGAATTATGAAAAAACTAAAGTGAAACTTTATTGTTTTAAGTAGTATCTCCTTGTTCTCATCTCCCACCTCTACAATCTATGGCATTTATTACACTGTGTGCTTCTAAGACTTGAACTCTTTCAAATTCCATCTATAAGTGAGATTGTACAATATTTATCTTTTTATATCTGACTTTCATTTTAACATAATGGCCTCTAGCTTCATCCATGTTGTCATAAATAGCAGGATTTCCTTTTTAAAGACTGACTAGTACTCCCTTTTAAAATATCCACATTCTGTTTCCATTCATCCATTGATGAATGCTTAGGTTGCTTCTGCCTCTTAGCCATTGTGAATAGGTGTCACTCTGTTTCTGTTCCCCATTTCAGGTTCAGAAAAGAGACCCTCGCGACTGGACCGCACAGTTCATGGAGGCCGCAGATGAGGCCTTGGATGCTTTGGATGCTGCTGCAGCTGAGGCCGAAGCCCGAGCTGAAGCAAGAACCCGCATGGGCATTGGAGATGAGGCTGTGTCTGGGCCCTGGAGCTGGGATGACATTGAATTTGAGCTGCTGACCTGGGATGAGGAAGGAGATTTTGGAGATCCCTGGTCCAGAATTCCATTTACCTTCTGGGCTAGATACCACCAGAATGCCCGTTCCAGATTTCCTCAGACCTTTGCTGGCCCTATTATCGGTCCTGGTGGTACAGCCAGTGCCAACTTTGCTGCCAACTTTGGTGCCATTGGTTTCTTCTGGGTTGAGTGAGGTGTTCGGTAGGTATATCTCTCTGAGCTGAGAGTGAGGTTCCCTGGAGCTGTAGCTATGTGCATGCACTAGAGTCATAGGAAATTTGTGCTCGGGAGATGAGGGCAGCACTATTTGGTATTTATATTTATTACTATTTGATATATATCATTAATTTTTTTCCATTTTTTTAATTTCTTCTTTTCACAGATATTGCTCATCAGCTGCAATAGTCTCTCCCCTGATTTGAGGCTGAAGTCTCTGATTCCTTCTAAATACAGCTATCTAGAGAGCCACAACTTACTGATTGAAAGTGGCATGCAAGATAAATTTATTTGCTGTTCCTTGTCTATTGCTTTTTTTTCCTTGTGTGCTGTCAAGTTTTGGTATCAGAAATAAACATTGAAATTGCAAAGTGAATTAGATGTGGTCTCCCTTTTTCTGACTTTGGGAAGAGAACAGCAGAGTTAATGAGATGGAACCTCAGCTATAGCCTGAAGGAGAGATCAAATTTCAACAAGTAGAAATATGAGATCAACTAATGGATTGGGAAACAGAGGAGGAATTAATGAAATTGTTGCTAAGACCCTCGAATTAGTGCAGCAATACAGCAAGTACCATTTAAGTGACACATGTGATGGATATGTTGCTTGGTGTTCTGGAGTAGCACTGAGAGAAATGGCATGATGAAAGGAGGTCAAGGTAATCAGATGGAGGTAGAATTCCAAGTGATAGAGATCTAGAAAGTATGCAGTTGAGGGGGAGAGATGGTTGCTTTGAACATGTGGGGTTAGTGGCCTGGAATTCTGGGGTGTTGGTTTTACTGTGGGAAGTGAAATAACGTTAGGTTGGAAGCAAGAGTAGGAGTGATTGGCACAGGTGCCAGAATTTCTTCTGTGAGAAGAACTGTGCCTCCCTAGCCACATTTCCCAGCGAAGACCAGGCTGCTAGGCACTCCTCCCATCCCTGGAAATGCTGTTCTCACGGTTTGGTTTCTCACATCCACAGAATCACAACCTTATCACAGTCAAGGTCTTATGGAAAGTAAAGGAGGGCTCACATGACCTCACTCCCGCAGAAAGAAAAAGGATCTTTGTTCTTGGAGAACAAGAAAGTAAGACAAAGTTTCATTAGTGCCAGATAACCCTTAGCTGCAACTGAACAAGGACCTGGTCTGAGTTGCTGAGATCTATGCTGGAAGCAAAATCCCTTACTGAGGACAAAATTAAGCCTAGGCTATAACTTCCTTAAAAGGTAGCTGGTGGGGCCTGGCACAGTAGCCTAATGGTTAAAGTCCTTGCCTTGTATGTATGTGACAGGATCCCATATAGCTGCCATTTCTAATCCTGGCAGCCCCACTTCCCATCCAGCTCCCTGCTTGAGGCCTGGGAAAGCAGTCAAGGACAGCCCAAAGCCTTGGGACCCTGCACCTGTATGGGAGACCCAGAAGAGGCTCCTGGCTGCTGGCTTCAGATCAGCTCAGCTCCAGCTGTTGCAACCGGAATGAATCAGTCTCTCCTCCTCTCAGTTTATCTGACTTTCCAATAAAAGATAAAATAAATCTTTGAAAACGATAAAAGGTGGTTGGTGTCTGTACATTTGGGCAATGACAGAGGCAGGAACTCTTGAGGTAGGAAAAATAAAAGGCAGGTTTTTTTTTTTTTTTGACATAGGATGGTTTCAGTAGTGGACAGAGAATGTATCTAAGGTACTTTGGGTTCCTGGTACTGTTCACGTTTGGTAAAGAATAAACCCAGATTAAATAAAATGACATATTGGGCCCAGCCCCTCCACTGTTGTCTTCACAGCCAGAATCCCTTTGGGCCAGGCTTGCACGCAGGCCCTCTTTCTCCCTGGGGTTGGGGAATCAGCCTGATGCTTTGGGGGCAGGAGTTGCCCCAGCTTTGCAGCTCTGTGTGGCCTCATGCTTGAGCTGAGGTCCTGCATTGCTGAGTGCTATGCATTCCATCTGTTGGTGAGAAACACTTGAGCTCTGTAAACCCCAAGGTAAACACAGGTATCCCTAACGTATCCCCTACTCTGCCAGCCCCATACTGTCCAACTGTGATGGCCTCGCAGGGAAGGTGGTTAAGATGAGCTGTGTGATATGTGGGACTGGCACTAGGCCTATGAGGCACTAGTGGGGCAGGGGTCCCCTCCCAGCTGGGCCTTTTGTCTCTGAGTTCTTTGAAAGTCAGTTGCTTATTTGTAGATGGGGATAGAGATGGCAGAAGATGATCCATATGGTCTCCCCTGACTCAGTGTACTAGGTGACAGCCATCTAACCCATGCCATACTGTGGAACTCTATGGCTCCTCCAAGCCATGCCAGCTGCTGAAGAGGTGGAAGAGCCCTGGGGCCACTGCCTTGGGTGATCAGTTCAGGAGGATAGTTGGTTTAGAGGACAGCATGTTACTGGAACACCAGAGGTTCACCAGGAATCCGAAAGAGCAGGGCTGGCTCTTGGAGCCTCAGGCCGACAGAAGAGGCCCAGTGCCTGGGAGAGCCCATTTAATGCCATTGCCTTGGTTTGCACTTTAATATGGGATCCACTAGACCATTCTGCTCTGTCTGCACCCTCAGCAGAGTTGATTTTGTTCTTTTAGTGCTCACAGAAGTCTCATGCAGTTTTGCCAGTTGGAAGAATCTGAGTAAGATCTTTAAGATAGCAGTATTTTATTAATATTGGTAGTATTATTATTACTACCATACTGCTTTCTGTAAGAAAATGTCTTTGTAACTAATTCTCAAGTTATTTTGTAAAGATTTATTTGAAGATATTACAGAGAAACAGAGGGAGAAATCTCACTTACCTGTTCATTTCCCAAATAACCACAGTGACCACAGCTGGGCCAAGCTGAAGCTAGGCATCTGGAACTCCATCGAGGTCTTCGATGTGGGCGGCATAGGTCCCATCTTCCCAGGCACGTTAACAAGAAGCTGAATTGGAAGTAGAGCAGCCAGAACTTGAAACGTTGCTCCAATATAGGATGCCAGTATCATAAACAGTGGACTAACCCTCTATACCACAATGCTGTGTTCTCAACAGATTCTTTTTACTATTCCTGCAACTTTTTTTAAGTCTTAAATTACATTAACACAAAATTTTAAAATCAAGAAGTGTCCAGGCCTGGTGTGATGGTTCGGTGGCTAAATTCATATCTAGGAAGATACCATATGGGCACCTGTTTGTGTCTCAGCTGTTTCACTTCCCATCCAGGTACCTGCTTGTGGCCTGGGAAAGCAGTAGAGGATGGCCCAGTGCTTTGGGACCCTGCACACACTTAGGAGACCCAGAGGAGATTCCTGGCTCCTAGCTTTGAAAATTGCTGAGCTCTGGCCATTGAGGCCACTTGGAGAATGGATCAACAGATGGAAGTTCTTTTTCTGTCTCTCCCTCTCTCTGTAGATCTGTCTATCCAATAAAAATAAATGCTAAAAAAAAGTCTTAATGTCAGCAAGTATCCACTGAAGTTCATCTTTCCAACACACACACACACTTTGGGAAAGGGTCACAAGCTAACGTAATACAGTTATTTATACAAACACAAGTGTAACCTCAGAGAGAGAAGCCTGATGTCATAAACTGCTACATCCAGCTCCAAGTTCAGAGATAATGGTTCATCTTAATTTACACGGGTTTTTGAATGAGGACATTTGGGGATGTTGTCCCCCTCACCAACAACCACCACAACAGCAAAAACTCAGTTTTAGAAATAGTATGTGGATGTTTGGGGAGTGGTCTAAGCCTGAGAATATTAAGTATTAAATATGAATGTTCATCAGTGGGCCTCAATAATCAGGTGAGCAATCTGACCCAGTCAGTGGGGGTCAGCCAGCCTCTTCGCTAGCTTCTTCTCTGCTCATTGAGTGCACACCTATGTGAAGTAGGCATGGTGGCACACTGAGGCATTGTATTGTCTTGACAATGTAAATTTCCATCAAACAAGGCTAATGTTACTGTACTCACTGCTAAGTACCCAACATGCTACAGCATACTGAGTTCTTGATATGTTTCAATCTAATGGTGTCCACTCAAATACCTGGAACTGGCTTCATTACATTGGACCCATTGCATCATGAAAAGAGTTAATATTGATCTCTGGAATAAATACATGTTCTAAATGTAGGCTTGCTTTCCCTTCCCTGCCATGATTCTAACCATCGTCTGTGAACTTTTTGGGGTATCACATTCCCTAATGTTAAACTTTCAGTGTAGGGTGAGAAAAAGTGTGTTTAACTGTGGGGGACTAGTTACCTTGTTAGGAACCACTCAACATTTCCTAATGACATTCAAGTTTTCTTTTAGGATAGTCCAGTTCTCTCATTATAGTTGGCAGACTTTCATAGTGGCTCACAGGAACATTTCCTTCTGGTACATGTACACTCAGTCACACAATAAAACGTTCATCTAGATAATGCTATGAAGGGATTTTTGCACATGTAGTTACAGTTCAAAATCAACTGACCTTAAAATAGGGACATCATACTGCGTGGCCTTGACCTAGTCAAGTGAGACTTTAGAAGGCACTGTACTCTTCTTGGCAAGAGATTTGAAGAGTGAGAGGGATTTGATGCATGGGCGTTCTTCATTCCTAGATTTAAAGATTGAAGGACTGCATAAAAAAGAAAATGAGATGGCCTGTGCGAGTTAAATGAAGCTTCCAGCTGAAACCAGCAAAAAAAAAAAAAAAAAAAAAAAAAAAAGCAAGCACTTCAGATCTACAGCTTCAAGGACAGGATTCCTGCCAATAATCTGAGATTGGAAGTGGATTCTTCCCAAGGGGCCTGAGAAATGGGAATGCAACCCTGCCAGCACTTTGGTTTGGGTCTTACCTAAACAGAGAACCCATCCTAGCCATACCCAGACTTCTGATATCTGGCCTGCAATTGCTGGGAGACAGTAAATACATGTTATTTTAGCCATTCAGGTTATGCTCATCTGTTACGCATTAGCAGAAAACAAATACAGTTGTTGGGAGTGGCATGTCCAGGTATTTGCCTCACCTTGTTGAAACGGACTAAGCCAGACCATTAGTTTCTTGGCCCCAGCATTGCCACATGATTTCTCCTTAAACTTTGAAATTTAAGTGATTGACGCTTACAAGTGAAAAACTATGATTTAAGTGATTTTATCCCCAGGGCACAATGTTTATGCTTCTTAAGTTGCTTTCTCTAATCTCCCTTCAGTTCTAGTAAAATTCATTTTATTGCTATTGCTGAGGAGGAATTCCTGTCGATAGTTATCAGTAATCTGCTGGGACTAGTTTGCACCAGATAGAGTACACTGCCTACTTTTCCCTTTAGTGAAAGATTTATTTATTTTTATTTTAAAGGCAGCTGGTACAGGCAATTTTTAAAAAATTACATGATTTATAGGAACAGAAGGTCTTCTACTCACTGGTTCACTCCCTAATTGA